ATTCTGAAAAGATTTCATTACATTTTTCATGTATTTCAGAAAATCACGTTAACATTTAAGAAAGATATTGCACACTGGCATATGTGATAAAATCTTGAATTTATTAATCATCTCATGAACTACATACATCAGACAATTTTTCTGCTGAAAATAGCGGATTGCAGGATTTCTTTTGCTGACTGCATCATCCCCTGATCCTGCCCTGCCACAGTCCTCATTGGGGCCTGTTGAGGACACCACACCCGCTGCAGGCTGTTCTGAGGCCGCCCAGGCTTTGAGCTCTGACCTCACGGTGGAGGGCATGGCATGTGCTGGTTAGAACAGGTGCTGAGGTTTCTCCCAGCGCCCCTGTGTCTGTTTTTGTTGTTGTTGTTGTTGTTTGTTTGTTTGTTTGTTTGTTTTTGTCTTTTTCCTTTTTATTGATACCAGGGATCAAACTCACGACTGCCTGCTTTCAAGGCAGGCATTTATGCCGCTGAGCTAAATTCCCAGTCCCTCCTTGTGTCTCTTTTGTTTCCACACTGCACTAAAGTGATGGAGAGTTACTAAGCTTCTCCGCTCACACAGACAATGAAATATAACAACAGCAAACTGTAGTCATTTACTCTTTCTGAAAAATATCAAATAAGCATTTTCTTCATTAATTATTTTGGTTATTTGCTGGAATCTATTTGGCAATGTTAAACATATGGTTTTTATACTGCTCATTTCCATTATTTAATTTGTTGATTTTTTTCAGTCGACATATCTCAGTCAAATTTTTTTTATCCTTTCAGGCCAACCAACAAAAATCTGATTATGCAATGTTTTTCAAATGAAGTTAGTGAAAGTTATATTAACTTCAGAGTAGTGTCTGGCTTATCACACATACTTGATACTTAAGGAATAAATTTATTGCTGAGGAAAGTTTGATTAGATGAGAGCAGGTACTCCATAGAGAACACTTGTTCCATTTAACTAAAATGTGTTGACTCATGATTTCTACTATTATGAAAATATTTAAAGCACGTGAGACTGAACCAGCCAATTTTTCCACTGTGAGTGACTCTGGGCAAGGATCTCTTTTCTCTCTTTGTAATAGTATATGAAGACCTTCATGCAGACTAAGAACAGAATAACACTTCAGTAGAATTCAGAAGTTCACAAAGGTCCCCTGTTAAAATGTATGTCTTACAAAGTAACTTTTTTGGTTTTAGTGTTTACTGTGGTTCATTAATTTCTCTTGCTTTTTCAAAACTTCTTGATGTTTCTAGTTAACAAAAATGCTTATTGAGCTAGAAACTTCTTGAAAGCTTTCTTTACATCCTGGTTCCTCAGGATGTAGATGAGTGGGTTTACCAGAGGGTTGACCACACAGTAGAACAGGGAGACCACTTTAACAATGGTGAAGTTGTACTTGGCCGGCAGGCAGATGTAGGCAAAAATAATGGTGCCATAGTAGATGGTAACTACGGTAAGGTGGGAGACATAGGTGGAGAAAGTCTTCTTCTGAGCCTCTTGGGAAGATAGCCTGACCACTGTGGCCACAATATTGGCGTAAGAGGAGACTGTGAGAACAAAAGAGCTTAGAATCACAACTGAGGTGCGTGTGTTGCCCAGGGCTTCTACCACAAAATTGTCTGAGCAGGAGACTTTCAAAAGGGGGCTTGAGTAACAAAAGAAATGTTTGATCTTCTGGCCACAGAAGTTTAGTTGAGAGATGGTATGGTAGCGGGGAAAGAGGCAAAGAAACCCTCAATCCAGGACACAGCTGAAAACTTGAGACAGATCTGAGCATTCATGAGAAGGGAGTAGCACAGAGGGCTGCAGATGGCTAAGTACTGATCATAGGCCATCGCGGCCAGCAGTATACACTCTGTGGCTTCCATGGAGAAGAAGAAATAGAGCTGAGCAATGCTTCTGGGAACAGAGATGGTGACAACTGTGGAGAGGCAGGTGACCAACCACTTAGGCATGGTGGCTGTGGTGTACCAGATCTCTAAGAAGGACAGGTTCCCTAGGAAGACATACATGGGTGTCTGGAGTGTGGAGTCCAAGAGAACAAGGAAGATGATGGCATTTCCCATGATGGAGAGCAGGGACACAGCGAGGAAGGTGACAAAGAGCGTGAGCTACAGGGAGGGAGAGCCTGGGAATCCCACAAGAATGAACTCTGTCACTGTGGTTTGGTTTGCTCCATCCATACCGTGTCTGCTCTGATCCAGAAGGGCCAACACCAAATGGTGGTAGATGACCAAGGAGTTGAGAATGGAATATTATTTTTCACTTATTAATGCTGTAATGATTCCTAATAAAAGTGACTAGTTCCTATCAACAGTATGATTAACACATACCTGTACACTTCACATGTCACAGTTGATTTTCAAGATAATTCTTCAATGTAAATACTCTAATAACCTACACTTTTAGAAATAAAGGAACACTATAAATATTACATAGTTTCATCAATCTTTAAGTGATAATACTATTTTTTGGAACCTAAGAATGAAGATTTTGTAGATCCACCAATGCATGTAGTGTGGCTGTGTGTGAGAGCTGGGCTTTGCCTTGTCTCTGAAGAAGTCTCATTGCAAAGTCCAGAGGAGGACTGGGAAATCAGAGATGCTGCTGACAGAATGAGGCCATTGGCAACATTCCCCAGATGTGCCCACCACTGTGGTGAGAGACAGTGCTGCCCATCATTGTAACTTCACTGCCACAGTCTGTTGAAGGCTGGATGGATTTGGTGTGAGTAAATCCCAACCATCTAGAGAGCAAAGCAGAAGTTGGTAAGTAGTACATATGTTACCTTTACAGGAGTTAAATTTCACTGTTTGTGAATATCTTTATTGTATTTTCCTTCTCTGATTAGAAACAGTTTGGCAAGTACATGTTTAAAAACAACTGTGTGTTCAGAGAAAAGGCAAAACCAGCCAGTGCAGTCACATCTTTTAGTGTCAAGATGCCTCAAGAAGCATGAAACATGTTCATTCATTGTAGCCATAAGAAAACTCTTGTCACACATGTAAACTATATTTTTAAAAGGATAGACTGTAAATGCTGCAAAATAGTGTCTCAGTATCTCCTGTGTCAAAAAGAGAACCCTGTCTGAACGTAAAGTGAATAAGTTAGATTTTATTTAAATGTACTTCCTGCTTTGAATCTCTATGAGGACTCAAGTCACCAAGTTAATTGTGAAACTGATACAGGGAAATGAAACTCCCAACTACTGTATGTCTGGTACAAGTTTGTGTTCTCTAAAATCAAAGGATGGTAAGGAACAGAATAGAGTGTATTTATTAAGATAAAGAAAGCTTCTGTTTGCCCCAGAAGGGTCGCAAGTGGGTTGCTCAGTACTCTGTCTTTTCTAGGGATTTTATACAGTAAAATCATGCTGTGAGACAGGGTTAAGGTGGGGAAAAATGGGAACTCAAAAAATGGGCCTAAGATGGGACAGAACTGTGGTTAACCAAGAAGATTAACTGCTTAGGTAAAATTGATTAAATCAGGAACAAATGGAGGCACAAGTCATGTAGTAAGTGAGGATGCTTAACAGCAGTGACTCTTCCTGTTACAGGGTGGGATGCTGAGTCCTGACTTCCTCAGGGTGAGAGAGAACTATTTGAACTGTGGGTCCAACTATTTGGCTTGTGGTGTATTTGCACTGCCTTTTGTCTGGAGATCTGGCCCACAGTAGGAGATGTCTGTCTCCTCAGAAGTCACACAGTATCTGAACCTTTGCAGTGGTTCCTTTGACAGCCCTGTCTGACTGCCTTTTTATAACTAACTCAGCTGCCTGTAACAACACAGGTACAGGTACAAACCTCACTGCAAATCATACTCCCTGTGGATGCAGTTGGCACAGCTGACAATGTGCAAGCTATGGATATTAGACATCATGAGTTCCATGTTCTAACCACTGAGCTGTGTAAAGGTAGCTGTGTGGAATTTAATTTTCCTGAATGTCATAAATGTTTTGCCATGTCTCTGTGAGTAATATAAACTAAGTTATACGTTTTAAAATTTGTTTTACAACTCAAAAGATTTTAAGGCATATCAATAGTATTTATAACAGGAAAATGATAATATGCTGAACTAATTATTAAAAATATTTTCCAATTTTTCCTAATGCTTAAGAAAATTCACTACTATTTTATTCTTAAAAATCAAAGACTCGTTGCTATTAAGAAAAGGACATACCCTAGGCATTTTGCTTGTCATTCCAAAAGAAAGATATATTATTTGAAAGTAATACATTCAGATGGGGTAAGAAGAATCAAATTCATGTCAGAACCTTCTGTGAAAGATCAGAAGGATGTAATTCTGCATTTGGCGTTGGGATTTCGTATTATTCTGCAACACAAAGCTTTCATAGAGAATAAAAGAGGGAAAATAAGTTCTAGCAGAATTAAAATAATAATTATAGAATGCAAATTATATGGACTTCTGTTGGTTTTTAAGTTTAACTGTGTAACATTTGAAAACTATGTGATGCTCCCAAGATCCTGGCTCGGACTGCCACAGCCCAAATCATGACAGTGCTTCTCCTGTCCTGTAGAATAACATGGGAGGTTTTGTCGATGATACTCACATGCTGTGCTCTATTTTGTTAATTTTCTGACAGGTATCCTTTTTAGTTAAATGTTCCTTTAATTCTCCTTTTAAAGCCAGTTGTGCATGGCAATACTGACTGCAATTTGTGCATAAAAAAGAAGCCTTATTGCTATGCTTTAATACAGCACCTACACTGCACATAAATACCAACTTCTTTAACTTTTTCAGTGCCAGGCATCTGCAAAAGGCAAGGGCAGCAGCTGCCCAGGTGAGAAGGATTGCAATTTCATCAACCAGGGACCCTAGGATATCTCCACCTGGGGAGCAGCACAGGGTCTCCCTGAGTGCTTGGGTCAGCGAGCTCTCCTCTGGGCTCACAGACAAGAGCCGAGGGTGGCAGCAGAACAGCTCAGCTCAGGGATTGTGTCCTGAGTGGCTTCTTAGCTGCCACGGCCTATGCATCACCCTTAAACAGGAGAGCAGAAGTCGTCCTCTGATGTCGCAGCCACCACAAGTATGACCACAAAATCATACTCTGCATCAACACTGCAAGGATTTCCACTCAAATCATAGAGCTGTGAGACAAAAAGGAAAGAAAATAAAACAAACACGAGATCATCACCTTTTCACGCAGACACAAACACAAAAAAACACATACACAGAATATTCATTGTTGTGTAGACACACAAGGACCAGCTCCCCATGATTAATGTTATTTTCTTGTACGGAAAACATATGCTGATAAAAGCAAAAAGTTTAAAAGGCCTGTTAATAGAGCACAAACTACAGCAACAGCTATGCAAATCAGCAAAACAAAAACAAGAAGTTCCCTTTAACCCAGATATTGCCCTTCTAGATCTCTTCCAAAAGTCTTAAAACCCTAATATTACACTAATCTCTGCTCACCCATGTTCATAGCAGCGGATTTCATAAACAGTCAATGTTGGAACCTCCTCTATGTTCATCGTCAGATGCATGGATAAAGAAAATGTGATACTTACAGATGCAGGAGGGTTATTCTTCCAGAAGGAAAGATAAACCTGATTCATTTGTAGGAAAGTGGGTGCACCTTGAGCCCATAATATTGGAGTGAAATAAAGCAGATATCTAAGCTTAAGCACCACATGACTTCAATTACATGAGAAATAGAAAATACAAGTAAAGAGCAAAATGAGAGATAAGTAATAAAAACAGGGGAATCTTTTCAGAGGCAAAGGGGAAGAAGAGGAAGAAGGATAGGGAGGAGCGAGAAAGGAAATGAAAAGAGAACAAAGATGTGTTATACACATGCACTAACTCCACACAATGAATGTAACCATTATATAATGTAAATAGTTATTAATCAAAATTAAAATAACTGAAAAACCCAATCATTTTAATAAATTTATAAATAAAACAATGACATCCTGGATAGTACAGAATAAGCCTCAGACATTTCACCAACAGGACACATGTCAGAACACTCAGAAGGTGTGCAAAGGATCAAAAGAGTGAAACTGGTGATTTCAAAAGGATAAAAAGTTACACACAACCTGAATGATGGAATAAAGTAAGTTCAGGTGATATGTACATGTGTATCAGGAGTTGAGAACACAAATGAAACCTTTTCAAGTTATTAAATTTTTAATTTAAAACACATTTGAAATAAATTAACAAATCATTGTATGTATAACATAGATAAGTAGACACTGAAATTATGATTTTGATTCAGCTAATCAAAGAGAGCTAGTTGACATACAGATCATATCAAATATTCAACATTTCTGTGAGAAAAACATTTAAAGTTTCCTTTCTTAGAAATACTGCATGGAACCCTTCAGTGATTCATTAGCTCTCCTCACCATGCTGTGTAACAGGCTTAGAAGTCAAAAAAATAAGAAAACAAAAAGTCAAACCCTTCTCCCTCCTGACAGGTCTCCCTGTTCACCATCTGCCTTCACCTTTCCTCCTCCCCAGCCCTTGGTAGCTACCAGCCTACATTATATCCTTGAATTTGGTTGCATCTGTGGTTGAAAATGTCAGCTGTTTTCTGTTGATGAAAAATTCTAAAATTCTTATCTGAAGAAGTCTTTATTTTTCATTTATCCTCACTTTTAAAGGGTAATATTTCTGGACACAGACTTTTAAATTGGTACATTTTCTCCCTCAATAGTTTACCATGCACCCCATCCATCCTGCTTGGGTCAAGAGCAGTACTATATAATCAGTATTGTTATTCCTATAGGGTAAGTTTTTATCACTTCTAGATCCTTTCTTGATTTAAAAAAAAACATGTTTTTTCAGTTGGCATGTGACATATGCAAACATGGGTCTTTTTGTACTTATTATGCGATGCAAATTCTTTGTTTCTTGAATTTGTCATTTGGCATGTAATACTGATACTAAACTGTCCTATATAATTATTGATTTTAGTTTTCCTACTGTGTTTTTACTTTCTTCTTTTGGTACTACAATTACACATATTCTGTATCCCTGTAATTATTTCAGGTTTTTTTTTCAGGGTACATCAGTCTAGGTTGGAAATCATTTTAAGAGTTCTGTTTTCTCTTCCTTGTTCTTTTTTCTCTGGCCCCCTTCCTTGTATCCTCTAGAATATCTTGGCAAATATTTTGGAGTCTGGGTTCCATGGTTTTAAACTTCAAACTTAGGTCTGGTGACCTATTTTGTCTTCTAACCCTTTCTTCTAATCTGACACTCTCTTCTCACTGACCATTTCGTCTATAATATCAGTAGTTTTTTTTAATGTCCTGGAGTTTTATTTGTTATTATTATTATTATTCACAGATATGAATTCTTTGCTGTGCTGCTCATTTATAATTCGCTTACCTTTTTTAGTTCAGCTAGATTTCTACTAGCATGTTCTGTAAACTCACTGGTCTATTGATTTATTTATTTATCAATTTCATTAGTACACTTTGGCAGTCAGTCCATATGATAGATTTTCCTTTATAAGTGATCTGTCTATTATCTCTGTGTTTGGACTGAAAGTGTTTTCTGGAAATGAGATGAGTTGTACAGCACTTGGCTTAAAGCCCTGCGTGTCATTCTAACCAGCCTACATACAAGATGATCCACACAGACCTGGTCAGAATCCTGGAAAGTCAGAGATCCAGACAGTGCTCCCAGCACCACACCAGAGATTCAGCATAGATTCCTGAAAAGAAATCCTTTGAAGCCCCTCAGGATCCTGCTGAAGCTGAACCCACATGCAAAGACCATGTGCTGGAAAACCATTCTTCTCAGGGCAGGAGCAGCAAAATCCGTTGTGACTAAAGCAGTAGCTTGGGAGGCCAGATCGGAGAAGTGGGCTACAGGCAAGAAGCCTGTGGAAGGGAAGAAAGGAAAGAAGGCTGCTGGTAGCAATGAGCTCTTCTGAAAAGCCTGATGTTAGCAATAAACCAGAAGCTGAGAAAAAGAAGCCTGCTGAAGAGAATAAACCTGCTGTGCAAACTCTCAGACCTACTATGCCACACAGGTGACAGAAATTTAGGCAGCGGAGTTTAGTTCAGGTCTGTATCAACCTCATCAAAGAGAGAGGGAGAAGAAAATTGGAGACTCATGAGAGAACGTGCTTCCCTATAATTTTGATTAACTCTTTCAAGAATTCTTTAAGTGCATGGTATTTAAGAAATCCTTATAGCTTCGAAGAGCCTCTCAATGTTTTTATATTTAACTGAAGTTTTGTCACTTGAAGACACTTGGTTCACTCTCAAATTCCATCAGTGTGCATTGCTCATTGTGGAAACTGAATTTAAACTAATCACTTTGTTTTAGGGACACAGGCCCTGGTTGGGGAGAAGGAATTACACATCATAGACATACAACACACTACTTTTAAATGTAACTTTCGGCTAATGACACACCAATTCCTATGCTGGATGTCTATTATCACATCTATTAGATCAAAGTCCACGCTGACTACTTTAAACAAAATAGTGGCTTCATTCCAGACATGTTGTGTCAACCCAGTATTTGACCTCTGTTTCTCTTTTTACACTGAAATGTTCCTGAAAGCATTAAAGTAACATTAACAATTATTTCCAAAGCATTTGGTCACACTGCACTAAGTCTGATGCTTGAAATTTTTAAGGAAGATCTTGTGATGTTGTAATCCAACATTACAGTGACTCATGTGGATCATTTGAAACTAAGAGAATTTAACACAATGAAATGGAAGCGAATACATTTATTTTATATATATATATATATATATATATATATATATATATACTACATTTTTATATAACTATGAGTGATTAATTCTTGTGTGTGTGTGTGTGTGTGTATGTGTGTGTGTGTGTGTGTGTGTGTGTGTGTCCGGGTGAGACAGAGAGATACAAAGGAGAGACAGACAGACAGAGACAGACAGAGACTCAGACTGGGGAAGAAAGCAGGAGGGAGGCTGGGTTAGGCTCTCATTACTTAGGAGTCAGCACCAGTAATTTGCTCAGGCAGCCTCACTGTTACAAGGATGGATGAAGTGACAAGGACGCAGGGTGTCTTTCCATGAAGGGAATCAGACTGTCCCTGGCTGGCACTGTGTAAATGTGCCTTTAACCATCAGCCCCGATTTGAATCAATTCTTAGGTGTAGACACAGCTGCACCCTGAACTCCTACTGTATCCATTATCATGGTCTGCACACACCCCAACTCTGTGCAGCATGTGTTAACTATGTGAACTCTTAAATATTCTATGTATTAACTTAGCCATAATTAGGTATTTCTACTAAAATATCTCTTTTTATGGATAAAGCACACAAACATATGCTTTCAGTGAAGGTTCCTTATTTGCTAATATAGATATAATTTCATATCTTGTTTATATCCTCTTTTTTAAGCACAGTGAAATTTCAAAAAAAAATTAACTGTAAGACCAGCAAAACATAAAAAAAGCATAAAATTCACTGTAGTAAAATATTTGTTTGGAAAATATGTGGTAGGAAAACTTGGAGAATATAAGATTTACTTGAAACTTTTATACTACATAAGACTATTTTAAATTTTTGAACATTCAATAAACTTTTAAAATCAATGACTTACATAGGAAAACCATTATAAGTTCTTTTCTAAAATTTTCAAAAATTAGATTTACTGTAATGATCAGCAAATGACTATAAAACATTGCTTTTAATAGTAATACTTTCAGCATACTACAGATTAATGAAGAAGGCAGAGATCACACACTGAGCTGATATAACATGTGCAGAGTAAGGTTGGTACTTTTTAAAGTAATTGATACTGAACATTGTATGACAGATATAACAGGTGTGCAGCCTATGAAATGGTTGTTAGTCCCTGAAAATATCAACATTTGCAGCTCTTTAAAATTAAAAATTAGCCTTCAGTTCTTTGATAAAACCTTAATTAGTACAATTTTTTTTTGGTATTTTTCCTTTTTATCGGTACCAGGGATAGAATTCACGACTACCTGCTTGCAAGGCAGGCACTTATGCCGCTGAGCTAAATCCCCAGCCCCAAATTAGTACATCTTTTACAACACAGAAGACAGAAAATATATGCTCCATCTATCTTGTCCACAAAATACTGGTCAGTTGCAAAACTATACCTGAAAAGCATTTGTATTAAACAGTGACAGATGACTGTCCTGAACTCAAAGTGATGCGCACTGTCCCAGCAGGGCTGTTCTCACCTTGATACAGACTCATCCTGCAGCTTCCAGGGGGAGAAAGTGTGTAACCCAGCACAGAGCAAGTTCTCAGGATCACTGCCTCCCAGCCCCCTGCTCCTGGATGCGTTGTCTTGCTCAGCTGCCCTGTCTGGTGGGTATTTCTGAATCCTTACAACTGTAATTCAGCCTCTATGTATGAGAGAGAAGGAAAGTGAGAGAAGTTAAGAGAAGAAACAGAGGAAGACTAGGGTGGAGACTCTGAAGAGGACAGAATGAAACCAATGGCGTCAAAGTGTCGCTCAGCAGCGTACTGGAAACACCTCTGAAGGCTGCAGCAAGAAGAAGGGCAGGCAGTCTTCTGCGTGGTACCCACAGCCTTTATCTAATTTAGATGAAATCCCCTCCATTTCTTTTCCTTACCTGGTGAAGAATTTCTATGAGGAAATCATCCCTTTCCTGTGTCCAGGTTTTCCTATGCTCACCCAGGTCTCCTCCTTACACAGCCTGTGCACCCTCACTCTCTGGGCATCTCTGTCTCCGGTCTCCAACTCCACTACAACCTCTCTATGAGGCCGCAGATGCTCCTTGGAAAGCAGATGTCCCTGTCTCTCCTGTGGTCCACAGAGGAGATATGGAGGATCCCGGGATATCTGCTATACCTGTTGGTCGACCTAGGCATCCAGGGATGCTGACCTGGGTCCTCACCATCCCACTGTGCCCTCATGAAGGGCTCCATGAAGGATGGTCTTTGCCTGTGCTCACATTGTCCTTCTGGCCCCCAGAGGGTCTGACATCTGCACCCCAAGTCCCTTCACTTTTGCTGCCCCAAGAGTCAGGGGGACGTGAGAGGAGGCTTGGGGACAGGGGCTGAGTCCAGGGCTGGGGAAAGGGGTGAGTATTTTGGTAACAGTAGGGAAGGAGAAAGACAGTGTCTGCTGCCTGAGGTGCCCTGGTCTGTGTCTCCTGGGGACAACTCTGCCACATCTATGTAGGGCAGCATGAGCAGAGGGCCCCAGGCATCCTGAGAATGAGCCAGAAGGAGCTGATTCTGCCTGACAGTCCCTGGGGACCCAGGATGCTCTTAGAGTCACATGGGAAGGGGAGGGAACTGGGTTCAGCTTTGGCTGAGAAGCAGAAAGTCAGGAAAGAGGAGATGCTGTCCCGCAGAAATACGAAAGAAAACTCCTTCCTGCACACATCTCCATCATGTCCACCTAACATAGCACATTTCACCCCTGCCCATCACTATTCAAAGTTTGTTTTATGTGGAGGGACATTTTACAGCCAATATTTCTCTAGATATTTACTCTAGTACAGGACTGCCTGGAACTTATTTAGGGTCAGTCTCAAGTGTCTCCAGGGTACCATGAGTTCAAGGTGAATCCACTTGTCCTCTGGACCACCTCCTACAGAGGGTCTGATAGAAGAGAAACATAGACTTTGTTTAAGTGATTTTGCTTAAATGCATTTTGATTGATTCTTAGGTCAACTGAAGAGTCACCAAGTTAACTGAGCCTTTAAGTGAATGCATCAAAAGCACTTAGCAGATTAATTCATGATAATTTGCTTAGTTAAATCTATATTGGTAGACTGAGGTGCAGGGCAGAGATTTCACCATCTTCCCTGCATCAGTGTCTTACAGTTCTCAGTTAGTGAGCTCTGGATCCACCACATCAGTCCCCAGATAAGAGGCCACACTGCCCAGAATAAGCAGTTAGCTCTGGTCTGTGTCAGTCATGTTCCAGCATCATGGGCCATGTTCCCAAGGCTCTCACAAAGAGGAACCAACTTGGAACTACATCTTGGTTTTCAGGAAACAGAAGGATGCGGGGTTTCATAACCCTGTGACTCTGCACAGGGTGTAGCCTCACTTTCCCAACCTGTCCAGCTCCTACACACAAGATATTTTAACATCAGACACCAGGACAATGTCAGTGGGAGGTTGACAAGGAACGTTTGCTAAACAATCTTTTCTTCATCTCTCAAAATGAGCATCAGCACTGAGCACAGTTTACAAGGATGGGTAATAAATTAAGGAGGAAAATAAAGGTAAAACACAACACTAAAACTAGTCCCAAAGTAATGGAATGGATTTAATGTCAAAATGTTTATCTTGCTATGTTGAATAAGTTAATGATTTAATCTTATTGATGTCATAATGCTATTTATTTGTTATTGAATCGTGTTATGAATTAAATTCCTGTTTCTCAGAGTCAGGTAACACGTCTGAGGACACCATGGAAGCCAAGTGCTCATCCGAGCCATCCTCCCATCTCAGTCTGCCTGTGTTCAGTGGAGCCAGAAGACAGCATGGGGGTTTGCTGGTTACACAGGAGACTCTGCAGGGATAATCTGATCCCACAGACTCTTCCTCCAGCCTTTATTCCAGGGTCTGCTGCTGGTTTCAGGACACTGTGCCTGCCCACAGTGTCTCCTCCAGACTCTTCTCCTTCCCATTTCACAGGAGACAGGGCACAGTTCCCACCAGAGCTCTGCAAGAAAGGGAGACACTGGGAAAAGAGGTACTTGGAGACTCTGTAAATGAAACTGAAACAACAGAATGAAGTTGTTCACCTCCAAATGTGTGAATAGACTTAGGCATGGCTTTTCATAGTTTGCTTTGTCTTTAAAATGTCATTAAATACATACTTATGCAATATGCAAAAAGAATATATGAACGGAACATGTCATAATAATGGTTTCCTATGTAAATCCAACATTTTCTAAAATGTGCAGTTTATTGCTTAAAACTTATATTTACTCAATAATTTGCTAACAAAAAATAAGACATATTACCTGAATATCTGAGCCACTACTTTTCTTCTTATAAGTCATTTTATATTTCAGCAAAGAATGTACCTTATATGAAAAACTTTCAGATATTCAGGGGCATCATTTCCCAGTACAATAAGGTTAAGTTGTTCTAAGTTATAGCCAAAATGAATACACTGAAAGTCTCAGCTATCCGGAGATGGTGGGAGAGATCAATTGTATATTTCCTCAATTTAGTTAAAATAACTAAAATTAAATCACTTAATGAAAGCAGAAAAGTCAGTAGATATGTGAGGCAAAGTAAGTAACAACATGTCCTAGGTTAAAAGGTTAATGTATTAAGAAAATCATGGATGTGTTACTACTGAATCAATAGTTGTGTTGGCTTCTGATGCACACAGGAATACTGTTTTCAAAAATCAAAACACATCACAGGAGAACACATGCAAATACCTGGTAAATAATTTGTAAGCCTTTATTACATTCACACATTGGGAACATTCAAATTGAAAGCAAAATAAATTACTAGAAACTCATTGAAAGTGGGTGATATCAGAAGTTTTATAATGATTGGAGCAGTTAGAAATTGTGCTCTTTCCCAGTGAGAGTCAAAAATTAGACAAGTGTTTTCAAGATAGTTTACAAAAAATTCATGCTGTATGCAACAAAAGAGATAAAAGTATCACACAAAAGAGCTTTGGACCAGCATTAATCATCAGGGTCCCAAACCAAAGGCAGTACAGTGTTCGTCAACCAAATAATGGGTTAAGGAGCAGTGATTCAGGACAGAAACAGAGGAAATCTGTGAAACGGCAGGAGAGTGCAGGATGCAGACAGGGTGGAAGTGCGGGAGGTAGCCTACGACTTACAGTGCTTACAGAAGAAAACTCAAATACAAGAATGACCACTGCTGGACTCCATTAACCTGAAGAATTAGAATAGCGGAACTAAGGGTGTGGATGAAGGTCAGGCCAGGGGCTGTGTGCTGGGTGTGGGTCTCTCAGGCTGAAGACTGAAGGCCAAGCTGAGGAGGTGACAGCTGTGTCCCTGAGGAAGTGTGTGCCCAGGGCAGACAGCTGGAACCTGGTAGAAGGGGAAACTTGCTTAAGGCCCTGTAGCAGTGTGTGAATTATATATGGATTTATTCAAAGTTACTCTAATATCTAATTTTTACCAGAAATGATATAAAAATTTATATCATATAACTATAATGCATAGCTTTACAAACCACAAGTTGACATGGTAGTGAAGATATATCAAATAGAACCAAACACAACAGATTCATCCAAATAGCAAAGTAAAGATCAGAAACATATCTATACATGTGTTTATATTTATATACATCCTTCTCTGTAAAGAAAAATTCCCTAACACATGCTTTCTGCAGCCTCTTGTGTTGTAAGGGTAAACATGGTATCAGCCACTTCTTAAGGGCTCTCACCCACTCACACACTTCCTCAGGGCGCCCTTGACCTCTTTGTTCCTCAGAGAGTAGATCATGGGGTTCAGCAGGGGGGTGAAGATGGTGTAGAAAGCAGACATGACTTTGTCATATTTGGCTGACCTGTAAGATTTGGGTCTCATATAAATAAAGATGCCAGGTCCATAGTAAAGACCCACCACCCCCACATGGGAGGAGCAGGTGGCAAAGGCCTTCTTGCGGGCCTCTATGGAGTGCATTTGCAGAATAGTAGCAAGGATGAGGCTGTAAGAGGTCAGAATGAGGGACAAGGGAATGAGGAGCATCAGCACACAGCAGATGTACATGACATACTCAAAGGCAGAGGTGTCACTGCAGGCCAAACGCACCAGTGTGGGGGCCTCACAGAAGAAATGGTCCACCTCATGGTTAACACAGAACGGGAAGCTGAGGGTAACAGCAGCCTGCATGAGGGCATCAGATGCCCCCAGGAACCAGGACCCCAAAGCCATTTTTAGACACATGTGCCAGTTCATGAGAGTGGCATACCGAAGTGGGTGGCACACAGCCACGTAGCGGTCATAGGACATGGCTGCCAAGAGGAAGCACTCTGCCCCTCCAGCGGTCTGAAAGAAGAAGATCTGCAACCCACAGCCCACTAGGGAGATAGACTTCTCTCCAGTCAAGTAGCCATCTGCCATCTTGGGCACAATGGTGAAGACCAGCATGAGGTCCATGAGGGAGAGTTGGTTGAGCAGGAAGTACATGGGCGTGTGCAGCCGGGTGTCCTGATGGATCAGGAGAACCATGAGGGTGTTGTTGAGAACAGAGAAGATCATCACTGCTAGGATTAACCCAAAGAGCATTTGGTGGGCTCTGGTATGGTCAAAGAGTCCTATAAGAATGAAACCTGAGGTGTTGTTCCCATGCACCATGAAATCAAGCAGAGGTGGATGCTGCTCTCAGCGGAACGAGACGAGAGGTCTTCACTTTCAATGCTGCATGTGAAATGCACCTTCCTAGAAATGTGTTGAGAAAAAACATGAAATCCCTTTTAAATTTTTTTTTTGTCTTTTTCCTTTTTATCAGTACCAGGGATCGAACTCACGACTGCCTGCTTACAAGGCAGATGCTTATGCCGTTGAGCTAAATCCCCAGCCCCCCTTTTAAATTCTTCATCTCACACTGGCAAAATGCTTTAAGCTGTATATAAAATTACTTGAAAACTTTCACATTTTTCCAAATTTTACATAATAAAATTAAGAAATAGGTTGAATATTAACTAGCTTACAAAATGCACAGTTTGATAATTTGTAGCTAACATATATGTGCTGCCTTTCATTCTGACAAATAAATGCATAAGAAAGAAAGTACTGAAAGACTGTCTTTTGCATTTTTTCTTGTATTATATTTTTCCCAGTTTATAGTCGTAGAAGCAGAGTGAAGTTAATATTTTACTTAGGTCGATGCTGTGTACATCACAAGAAGCTTACAAATCTGTAACACACATTTTTAATCTTCCCATAGCACTTTATCTTCCCTGACACTATTAAGCCTACAAGACTTTTATTCTTTCCAAAGAAGACTGAACCTTCTCACATATAAAAACTAGAAGGAGAATGTATTAGATGACTCACATGTTATAGGACTCAGTACCTGATGTTCACAATTTGAAGGAGCAAAATGTTGAGTGGTGTCAGATTTCAGAGGTCTAGGTCATGCATTGCTGGCTCCAAAGCTGAAGCATTGGGCTGGGCTGTGGAGCTGAGAGAATCTGCTTAGTTCACGGTGCTGGAGAGCACAGTAAGGGAGTGATTCCAGGTAGGAAGGGGCTGAGAACATAAATCAGATCCAAGGTTTGTCTCCACAACCACAGCCACACACCTAGCAGTGGGCTTCACTAACCCAGGGCAGAGTCCATGCCCTTTTCATGGATGGTCCACCTGACCCTCCCAGAGTGTGCAGATCCATGGATAAGTTTATTGAAATCTAGTACTGCATTTAGTATTGCTACAGAGCCATATACTTAAAATGACCTCATTTTTTCTGCAGTTTATAGCCATCATATCATGTGCATCCATTCTTAATCATTAAAAAGTATTTTGCTATAATAATCTGTGGCTTTTCTCTGTCACACAAATTCCCAGTTTACTAGAAAGATGCCAGACCCTAGTTCTTTAAGCACCTGTGAAGTTTTATCAGTGTCCTGACCACTCCTAAGAGAGTCTAAATCTTTGAAACCATCCCTTTCTTTGGTCTGCTGCTGCCTCTGCTGTTCTACCCTATTCGATGAAATTCTCCATGGCGACAGCGATGTGGATGATGGCTCACTTCCTAGGATGCTGCGGAATTCACCCCTTCCACCACGGGAGGTGTCCACACATCCGGGGACTTCCCTCCGTTCACACATTGCAGATCCTGGACCGGCAAGCACTAGTCCCTGCCTGGGAAACAAGTTTCCATGGCTTTAGCCTCTGCAGGGACGTCACGGCCACACTGGGAGCTTCTGAACTGGCTGTTGAACAGTGTAGCATCACCTGTCACCTGCACACTTCATGTGCTGAACCTACGATCTGCACATCCATGCCAATACTGCACTCTGCTCCCAGGAGCTCGGTGCTGCCCTGCAGCTCTGCACTTGCAGGCACTAAGCCCGCGAAGCGGGCTTAGGTGTCAACCCTCTTCCAGCCGCCCCTTTGCTGAAGACCTTTCAGTCTTCACACCGCTGAGCGCGCACCAGTAGTTTAGTCACTGTGCCTGTTCAACACATTTCTTAAATTTGCTTTGCATGCTATCCAAACGCGGTGTGTTTTAGTACAGTCCTAAGAGGTGCGTTCACATTTCATTCAGTACGACCGTCCCTGGTGCCACCTCTGAACTCTTTGCAGCTCTCCAGAGGAAACCTCTGTAGGAACGGAACTGAAAATCCCCCTCAGCTAAGCGAAAGAACTACCCTTCTCTGGTTTGCTTTGGACTGTGCCAGGTAACCCATATGTGGAAGGGATTTGTGTCTGTGTGAGTGTGTGCACGCGCGTGCCCTCCAGGTCAATCACCCACCGGTCCCAATCCCCTTCCTCTCAGGCTCCACAGCTCCCCTCTCACAGAGGCTCTGGGTTGTTCCTTCACTGTCTTTGACCTCTGAGCTCTCTCACCCTGCTGAATCCCTCTGCTGGCTGAGGAGATGTGGGACAGGTGTCAGAGCTCTGTCGTGATGAGGTCCTGAGAGGTCACAGAAAACACAGCTGGGTCAGCTGTTCTTCTGCCCAACTCAAAGGAGAGAGGTCTATGTGTTTCTAGAGAAGCAGCTGAATAAATACCAGGATTACCAGCTAAGAAATATATGTTGTTATAATGTTATCTATGGGTTTCCAGTGATTTTTAAATTTGAAACTATTAGTCTCAATTTATCAATTATCATGTGATAATTGCATGCTTTTTAACATAAATTTAATGTGTAAGCATGATTGCATATTATGAACTTAGATTTGATTAAAAATATTGTAGCATTTAGTTTACTGGAAAGGTCAATTAAATACATCAGTAAATGCAATAAGTATTAATAAATATTTTTGAAGAAGAACTCGTGTTTATTTGTTCAGAAAGTATATTAAAACAACTTTGTATATACTGTTTAAGTGAAAGAGACATTGTGAAAAAGTCTGTAAGTCTACACAAAACTGATACTTTTTCCTTAAAAAAAATTTTCTCTGAATTCAAATAACAAACAAAACAAGCAGTGGGAGTTCATTCATCTTGTATGTAAAGTACTAAATGTTACTAAAATAAGCAATTCAAACTTAAAACTTAAGCTACAAACAGTGATTTTCTTGTGTTTTCTTCTGTCTTCAAAATGTAAGAGATTTTCTGAACACTTTTCCTTCGGCTCCTAAGTATATTTCTTACAGTACTGTTAAAACTCCATCATGTCTCCTCTGAATCACAGTGGTAACTTTTGCAGAGTGTGAGAACTCATGGATAGGTCCCTTCCTTTCTTCTCCCTCAAGCGATTTTTCAATAATTGTTAAACTTAGAACAGTTCTTGTAATTTACCTTTCAGTATGCATCCAAACTTACTGTAAAAACTGTTCATTAAAGCAGTAAAGTTCTTACCCCAATACAGAAATGAAAGTGAATGTCCTCTATAAAATTAGCACAGTGTCATGCAGGTCACTTACTCCACAATGTTGACAGCAGACCTTAAGCATTGGCCTGCCCATAGCATCAGTTCACACACATTTTAGCTGTTTAGAGGGGAGATGGAAGCGAGTGAGGAATCTTTCGGTCGAATGTGTGAAGTGAGTGGTATGACTGTGGCTTCTGGAGTTCAAGACTGAGAAGAAAAGCAGGGTGTTCTGCCCATGCCATAATCCCAGCACTTAGCAGGCCAAGGCAGGAGGATTGCCATGAGTTCAGGACCAGCCTGGCCTAGCCAGTGAGTTCAAGTTAAACCCTGTCTCAGAAAAATTACTCAGAAGCAGAAGTCTGTTCAGAGGCTGCTGTGACCTGCTTACCTAAGTCAGAATGATGATCCCAGCAGGTGGACTCACACCAGCTCTCTCCTACGGGGCCTGTCTGGGGAGGAAGCTCTCTTCCAGCTGATGCTGTGACATTTTATCAGCTCCTAGAGTGACTGTTTTGGTGTCTGGCCCCTGGCCAGCTTTGGCTGCATCCTGCTCTCACTACCACTGTGGCCTGTGGAGGTGCGGCTCTGCAGGCTCCAGGGTGCTTGATGTCTGAGTTACTTACACATGCTGCCAAAAACTGTGATGCATAGGATGATGCAGCATCACTTAGAAGCAAAGTAAACTGCAAATAAATGTTTCATATTGCGCTCATGACTTTAGAAATTCACAAATGAGCAAAGAAATAATTCTAGCTTTACTTTTCTAATCTTTGAAAGAAGGCAAGATTAAACATTGTGATATTGATTTCATCTTTTGTAGAACATGACAATAAAATACAGTGAAGTGCAAGGTAGCATCCAACTTTGTTTTCCTTGTTTACATTAAACTTGAGGCTAAGAAATGTGCTTATATGTATGAGTTCTTCTCAACCATGTGAAATATTTTCTCCTTGTTCTTATGCTGTATGCTTGCATGAGTTTGTGCCAATTTGGTACAAAAGCAAAACCAGAAAGGGATTTGTGTCTGTGAGTGTGTGTGTGCACACGTGTGCCCTCCAGGTCGATCACCCACCGGTCCCAATCCCCTTCCTCTCAGGCTCCACAGCTCCCCTCTCACAGAGGCTCTGGGTTGTTCCTTCTGCCGCTGCCAATGCTTCCCAGATTGGCTCCTCTAGGGCAACACTTCATGATGTCCCTAGTATTTTGTATGTTCATGATATTTTCAGTTTCCAGGCATTTTGGGGCCTAGGACCCATGTACCACAACTTCAGAGAAATGGGCTCTTCTGCTAGCATCTAAAACTGCCAGGTTCCCAAGTGTAAAATGGTTCTTTGAAGATCAACCTCTTCATGGACGAAGTGCTGGGAAAGTTAAACTATACCAGTGAAAAAACTGAGATGTTTTAATTGCTTGACTTGTTGAACTGTAACTGCTCTTTGTTTTACTTTGCCTGGAGAAATTGTCATGTGTTTTAGTTACATTTCTATTCTTGGATGTTGAATTGATCAAAGCAGCAAATCCTACTCTGGTTTGCAAGGTGATTGGTAATATGCACAAGGCTTAATTTTATGTTTTTGAGGGGGGTTTCACTGTGCAGTCAGGCCATCCTTAAACTTATGATGAGTTTAACTCATTCTGCATCAGCCTCCTCAGTGCTGGGATTATAGGTGAGCACCACCATGCCAGAGTGAAGCTTACATTTAACCTCCAGTGGTTTTGCTTTCTTTGAAAAACTCAAGGCTCTAGAGAAGTAGAAATATCTTCACTATTTAGTACATGATATATATAATGTGGCTTTCTGGAATAATTTCA